CCCACCTGCCCAGGAAGAACCCAGGGTTTCCTCTTCCTCCCTTTCCTGTGTGACTCCTTGTGCATTTGTTATTGCTCCTCTACTTGTCTGCTTACACAAAGAGTTTCCTGGGAGCAGACGGTACCTGACACATGGCTGTGTCTCTGGCAGTGCCAGCCCAAGGCACAGAGCAGTCATACAGGATATTTTGGTTGGTTAAGTGGGTGAATGGAATAAATGAATGGGGGATGAATCCATCCTTGACCCTCCATCTCCCAGACAGTCCCAGAACTATTGTTTCCCAGGGCAAACCATTTTAGAGCCAAAGGGAAAGCAGAAGGAAGGGACTGCTTTGGAAGGGAGAAAGAAAATCAATAAAAATGTAAATCTGGTAGAGAAAAGCTGTCCCAAGCTGGCTGTGGGGAGAGATAAGACAGGGCTAGCTGCACCCTGGCTGACAGGGAAAAGAGATTAGGGGACAAGCAAGCTGAGGCCAGGCCAGGGCAAAGGCAGTGAGCCTCCTACCAATGTCTTCTCCGCCCCTCTCCCTCCTCCCTGTTCTCTGTGCTCATTAATCCTTTTGGAGACAGGAGAAAGGAAGGAAACTTACAGATTCTGATTGTCAGGTGCTGAGTACATGATATCTTACCTGTCTGCACAATTTGTGGAAGACTGGACACAGACCGACAATCTCACCTTCCAGGTGAGGAAACTGAGCTTGCAGGAGTTAAGCTATTTGAACTCAACTCTGTCTCTACATCTGATCTTTTCAGTCCTCAAAGGGTTTTTGATCTGAGATACTCCTTAGGAGGTCTGCACCTGAGCTTCAGAGCATCCTTAACCTGCAAGATCATATGCATAACTATGTATGTGTTTTTATACGTGGTTTAAAAATTAGATCATTTAAAAATTTTTCTGTCAGTATTGGGGTTTGAACTCAGGCCCTCAGATGCTTGCTAGGTAAGTGCTCTTTCACTTGAGTCACACCTCCCAGCCCTAAATTTATCTTTTAAAATGGAACCCATGCCTTTAAATCAGATCCCAAAGGAGGTTGCCCCCTTCCCTCCCTCCCCCAATTGCAAGTCCTATGCTGCCTCCCTGGAGGTGGTGGTCTTTGAGTTGCATCTGGAAGTGGGCTGGAACTTCATGATGTGGGGATGGAGAATTGCACAGTAGGTGGGAATGAAGAAGGAACAGCATAAGCAAAGGCATGTTAAGAGGCAAAAATTCAACACATCCAGGCAAAGATTCAGCACGTCTATAAGCAAAAGGAACTCAGAGTCAGGCATTAGGATCAGGGTCAGTTCTGATCTCTGTCCTGTCCTCTGCTGGACTTCATCACTAGTAGAATTTGGCAGGGAGGCTTAACGCCATCTCATCCCAAATCCTTGGTACAGGGTAGGAAGATAATCCGTTCACAGACACAAATGCTCCTGGTTCTTCATTGACTAGAGACTATATTGATGGTAGGGGGAGGGGCTGTTCCATGGAGCCCTACAATCCCTGGAAACCCCTCTCACCTTCTCTGCTCCATCTCTTGGCTCTTAGACTCACATCTTCCCCTGAACAGTCCGGAAGACTTTAAGCACAAGGACAAGGGCCTCATCTTCTCCTCCAGCTCTCAACTCACCCCAGAGGCTGACTCCCCATGAGGCAAATGTTGCTTTGGTCTAGAAATACACTTCACCAATGGTTCATGTTGCCATATTTTGTGAAATTTGTGTAGGTAAGATGCTTTAACCACTTCTGTCCACTTCAACTTGCCTTGTGGCTCAATGAGTGGTCATTGGCATTTCTGGGACCTGGCCAATGGCGAGTAGAGTTGGGGATGAACTTAATTTGGGTTCATTGGAATATGTGGCTCCCAGTTACCTCTGTGTATAGATAAATCATTATAGCTGTCTCTGTGTAGAGAACAGCTTCTAGGAATAGTCCTACCCACTGTCTGACTCATTTGGCATTGTGACATTAAGGTGTCCTATGCAGAATTCATTTCATGTGTTTGTAGTATTCAGCCCTGGAAGTATTAGGGTTATAGAGGAGGAGCAGGAGACATGCACAGAGCCAGAAGCTAGCCTGTGAAAAGTTCTCCTTAATCATCAGGGGAAACGTGAATTTTAGAGGCATGCAAGGCAGTTAGTTATTTAATTTAAAAAATATGCTATTTTTCTGGATGACATATTTGTTTTAATTTTTTTCTGTTCTAGGCAAATACTCACATTCTTACTGAATTTTGTACAGATTGAATATCCCCAATTCAAAAATTCAAAATTTGAAGTTTTCCAAAATCCAAAACTATCTGAGTGCCAACATAACACCACAAGTGGAAAACTCCATACCTGATATCATGTGATAGGTTCTCATCAAAATACAGGCACACGAAAAATATTGGATTAAATTACCTTTGGGCTATGTGTATAAGGTGTATATGAAACAAACGCATTTTCTGTTTGGATTAGTCTCATCCCCAAGATATCTCATTGTATATATACAAATATTCAAAAATCTGAAAACAATTCCAAAATCTGAAACAATTCTGGTCCCAGGCATTTTGATTAAGGGATAATCTATGCTCATAATTTTATATTCTTTTTCTTTTCTTTTTTTTTTTTTTTTTGTTGGTGGTACTGGGATTTGAACTGAGGGGATCATGCTTGCTATGCAGGTACTCTACCACTTGAGCCACTCCACCAGCCATATATTCTTTTTTTAAAAAAAATCTCAAATTGTATTAGCTTTCATTTCCACAAGATCTGGATCCAACCCTGGCTCCACCATTTATTCTCTCTCAATAGACTTGGGCAAGTCACTTATTCTTTCTAAGTCAGTTCCTCTTTTATAAAAGGTAAATGACAATTTGGACAGGTGAGGACACAGATGGCCTTGTGACCACATTCTAATTTTGAAACCATTACTAGAGGAAATAACCCAGACAAACAAAAATTAGACCAGAATATAAAGAGAAGAAAAGACACAACATATCAGAAATAATGGTAAGCAATGAACCCAGTAAAACTTAAATCTAAATAACTAGAAATAATGTGGTTGTTGCGAACCTCTAATGTAGTTTATAAGAAGACATTTTTTGTAATAGAGAAGACATTATGCAAGAACAAATTTAATAATAAGCTGTGTCTATAATTCCAGATTATTTCTGCAAAACCTGGAGAACAGGAGGGAAGGAAAAGGAATAGAAACACACCAAAAGCTTCATCTTGGGCTGGAGACGTAGCTCAAGTAGTAGAGTGCTTGCCTAGCAAGTGTGAGACCCTGGGTTCAATCCCCAGTACCACCACCAAAAAGTAAAAATTCTTATCTTGAAATACTTGACACTGAGAACTACAGGCTCAGTTATTTGTTAAACACTGACAGTCAACACATAGACTAAAACAGGAATTGGAACTTCTATACCTCCTTCTTCTTTCACGTGGGAAAGACCCAGAGCCATAGCGCTGGGAGCTGCTTAGAGGACAAGATCCTTGTGTGTGCCCGCCCTTCCTCCCTCCCTCCCTCCCTCCCTTCCTCCCTCCCTCCCTTCCTTCCTCCCTCCCTCCCTTCCTCCCTTCCTTCCTCGTTCCCTCCCTTCCTCCCTCCCCCCTCCCTCCCTTCCTCCCTCCCTCCCTCCCTTCCTCCCTTCCTTCCTTCCTTCCTCTTTCCCTCCCTCCCTCCCTCCCTCCCTTCCTTCCTCCCCCCCTCCCTTCCTTCCTCCCCCCCTCCCTCCCTCCCTTCCTTCCTTCCTTCCTCTTTCCCTCCCTCCCTCCCTCCCTTCCTCCCTCCCTCCCTCCCTCCCTTCCTTCCTTCCTTCGCTCCCCCACTCCACCCAGTGCAGGGCTGGGCACACAGGACAGGGAGCCACTGCTGATGCCACCTCCCAGCTTTCAGGGGTGTGTAGTGACAGAGACTGGGCTGGGAGCAGATCAAGAGATACTTTCCTGCTCCCTAGAAATAATCAGGACAGATAAGACTCGGCTAGAAAACAAGACAAGACCTGACTCAGAGAAGGTCTGGGGGAGCCAGGCATTACTATTTCCCATGTGACAAACTCAGGCCTTACACAGACCCAGGCTTTCTGGAGAACCAGAGCCTACCCCAACTTAAGGGTCATAGAATCAGAAATTGTTTACCAGTCCCAGGGATGCAGAGTTGGGCCCCAGAAGGGAATGTAGAGACTAGAATTCTATTCCCAAAAGCCACAGTGACTTTGGTGGCCCCTGGTTAGATGTGTGTGATCTTGACAATACACAGATAGAGGTGAGTGTATCTGATAGTGTGCATGGTCTCTGAAGTTACAGGGCTTCTAAGGCAAGGGCTAGGCCTCACCCTAAACTGTGGCCTCCTATGTACCAAGGCTGGGATTTCCTAAGTCAGAGAGCGAGTCTCTGCTTCAGCTAAGGCTTCTGCTCAGTTCCCTTACAAAGCCCCTGTGTTCCTGAGTTATGAGGCCAGCTCCCTCTTCCCTGTGGGCTCCCCTTAGAGGCCAGCTCTGGGCTCTGCCTCCAGGGGGAGCCAAATAGACACTTCTCGAAGGCAGCCTGGGGCTGGGGAAGAGACCTGACTTTATCCTGACCACACAGATGGCCAGGGCTGATGGAACCTGAAAGCTGATGAGTTCATTCCCTCCTGGCAGAGGAGGTGGCTGAGGCTCAGAGGGTGCTCTTGGTGAGTGGCAGAGGCCCTGTGTGAAAGGCAACCTGGTCTACTCTGGATTCCCTATGCTAGGCCCTGCAATGCACAGCAGTCCTTCCACTCAGGAAGCTTGGTTCCAGGTCAGCTGTCTGGCTGAGGGAAAAATGAGGAAAACATTCTTGCTTCAGAAGTGGCCACCACTCTGAATAACTCTTTGGTTCTAATGAACAAACAAAGGTCCAGAGACGGTCAGTAGTTTGTCCAAAGTCACTAGTCCATTTAGTGTGCAGCCAGAATTGGAACACAGTGCTTCTAACACTGAATCCTAGGGAGAAGACTCAGAGCAGACACTGCTATGGCTCCTGATCTTGGCCAGGATGTAGACCCAGGGCAGATCATACCCTGGAATCCTCTGACTTCTTCTCTGGCTCTGATGCTAACAGCTGCTGCTCTAGGCCAGGGCTGGATGCTGTGACCTCGGACCCCATCTCTTTGTTCTGTTGCCTCAGGATGGCCAAAACCAAGGTGAAACACACCAGGGAGCCCGTTTTGAAGAAGAACTGGAGGCCGATGAATCTGGGGAAGAAGAAGGGGACATTGAACTCAAGAACTTGAGTAGCAGGGCATGGATGTTCTTAGGCTGGGGGTACAGTGGAGTCAGCAGAAATTGTCTATTGTGAAATCAGAGACATTGAGGTATGGGGGTCACTGACCCTCCCCCCCCATAGGTCCCTTTCTTGGAAGAGGGGGAGGCTGAACAGAAGGATGCTGAACAGGGGCAGAAGCCTGGGCACCCCTTATTTTGTCTTTGACTGCTGTGTGGCCCAGGCACAGGGATCAGGGGACCCAACAAGCACAACTTTGGGTTGCCCCCTCATTCACACACAAGACAACAGGACACCCCATCTCCTGTTTAGCACATCAAGGCCTTTGTTGATTTTTTCTTCCTCTGTGGGACAGAGCAGAAGGTGACCAGCTCCTGGCCCTGGTCCTCTGCAAGTCCTCCCATATCCACCCAGGTCAAGGCTTCTGTGCCCTTCAGTTCCTTTGATCTTCACTGAGATGTGGGAAGACTGAGACCTGCAGACGGTTCTCCTGCTCCTGACTCCAGGTTCCTGTGTCAACTCTGCCATCAGACAGCTGGGATATGAGGCCTAGCTGTGCTAGTTGTAACCCATGTGATCTTGGGCCACCTACTTTAGGTCTCACTTTCCTCATCTATTAAAAGGAGGAGCCAGTGTTTGGCTCTTAGGGTGGGCTCAGCCCTGGATATAGCACCTGTCACCAGTCCCTCCCTGATGGTGTCCTGCCTGGAGTCCTGAGGGTTTTTTGCCCTCTCCCCACAGCCACCCATCCAGGTCTCACCGGTTTCGGAGCAAGTCATGGTCATAGTAGCGGCAGACGGCTCGACGTCCACAGCTCAGGGCCCAGTGTATGCAGGTGGTATCGATGGCAGTACCGTGGATCACAGGGCTGGGCATCCAGGCTAGGAGAGGAGAGACTCAGGACACAGTGGCACAGTGCTTCCCAGCCCCCGTCCCTCCACAGGCACACACAACCTCCCAGAGGCTTGCCTAGCAAAGGAAGTCTTGGCTCAGAAGTCTTTGGCCTCCAGCACCCCTTAGCATGTATCAGAGAGAGCCTCCTCAGACTCTTAGCTTCTACTTGCACCCCACCTCTGCCACCTGTGTCCCCCAGATCTAGCACACAGTGGGCATCTGGACCCCCATCACCACTACAAAGGGGCCCAAGCAGGCTCTTTACCCAAAACTCTCAGGAGCATAAACTGCATCCCCACAGCCAAAGTCTTGTCTTCTTTCTTCACTCCCCTAACAAGCAGGACATGACAACATGAGGACTGAGAGGGCTCCAGTTCCCAGGGCCAGGGAGCAGCAGGGACAACTGTCACCATGCCCTCTTCTCCCATACCACATCAGCCAGTCTGAAAGTTGTGGCCTGGGTCCTGCACCTGTCACCCCTCAACCTGGCCTCTCCTAAACAGCACCTGTGGCTGACACTTAGACAGCACTTACTACAGGCTCAGTGATTCTACACTGCAGCCTCCCTTCACCCTGAAGAGGTGGTATATCACTAGCCCCATTCTGTTGATAAGGGCACTGACACCTGACATGTAAAATGACTTGGCGAAGGTATCACCATTGTTGGTGTCAGAACTAGGACCTGTGCCACCACAGTCCTGTGCTCTCAGCTCCCTGTGGCATTTGATCCCACAAAGAGCTGATCTCTGATCTCTCATATTAGCCTGTTTTAAAGATCCATGAGTCTTTAATATTCCCTTTGAATTTGCTAGAAAGTAGAGAGTGAATAAAACAGAATGAAAAATTGGAATTATCTTGTTCTGAGGTCTCCTTGTCTCAGCCTTTACCCCAGGAGACACTGCTTTGGACTTGGGTGACAATTTGTCAGGCCACCAGATATTCTCAGGTCAAGGGCCAGAAAGATCTTAGACCAGGAAGCAGTACTAGGCTTGGATGGGTCCATAGTGGGCACTTAATATGCACCTGGTGCTTTGACGGTTGTGCAGGATCAGGACAATGGAGATGGGGTTGGTTTCCTGGATGTCTGTCATGTGGCCCGCCCATTGCAGGTGGCCAGGGAGATTCATGTCCTACTGTAGGATGCCTTCACTGGATGCCCTCACTGGGGGAAGCCAGGACAGGGCTTTAGGTGTAGGCTCTTTTCCCCTGGGGCAAGTAGGGCCTGGGCTCTGGCAGGGGCATCAGTCCTATTCTGACACTTGCTACAGGACTGGGCCTGTCCCTGAATTATGAATCTGTTTCCTTATCTGCAAGATTGGGAGAAAACCTCAGCTCAGCAGGTCACAAGGGGAGATGAAGAAAGGATAGCAAGGAGTTGGTCTGTTGTCGGGACTCAGGACACTTGAGTCGCCTTGTTGCTTCAAGGTCTAAGGTCTAAGGTCTTCCTGGTCTAAGTCCTCCCTTGAATCCCTTGTTGTGGCTGTGGCTGAGGGCCTCTTGGTACCCATCCACCCTTCCAGCCCCGGCTTTCACCTCAGAATGAGCATGAAGGAAGGTGTGTGGGTGACACTGGCCATTGCTGCCCCCAGGCTGACCAGAACAACGAAGGGCAGGACCAGGTGACTGCAGGCTGAGTCACAGGAGCCCGCAGACACTGGGCTGTCCCCCACCACGCAGCTGCAGTTGGTGTAGAAAACCTGGGGTAGGGAGAAGGGGGAGAAAAGCCTTTAGGAACCCCCAAGGGCAGGCAGTTTGCTAAAGGTTATGCCTGGGAAGCTCCTGAGTGGCCCAAGGGCCCACAGCCAGTAAGGGGAAAGCTGGCTGGAGTCTGGGACCTTGACCTTTTGCTGAATGCAGATGACTTGAGGAGCCAAGCAATCCTGGACACAGGCTGTCTATGCACAGACAGGGCTGAGCCTGGACAGTGGTTGTGAGGAGAGGGAGAAAATGCACGGAAGCGTCCTCAGGTCAGCCCTGGTGTGTTTGATGGTGGCCTGCATTCACACTCAGTGGCAGCCTGGAAAACTTCCAGGCAGAGATTCTTTAAGAAATGGTCTGGCCGCCAGTGCCCTCAGGCACCTGTCAAGAGCCAAGCCAAGCCAAGAAAGCTGGGCTTCTCTTTTCTTCACCATAGATTACAGTTTTCTTGACCAGTGTATCCCAGTCACTCCAGCACCCAGAGGCCCAGACAGGTGTGCAGGGATTGGTCCCATCAGTTCTCCAGGTAGCCCAGATAGCCTGGGGCAGGTGGAGCCCTCTAGGCCTCTCACTTCCAACCACGGCAGCCTCAGGTTCTTCCCAGTGTGTGAGAAGGATTGGGAAGACTTGAGGTGGAGGCTGGGGCCTTGGAAGGATTCATGCTTGGCAGAAATGAGACATGATAGCTGTGTACAAACGATGCTACAGCCACTACTAGGACAGACTGGGTGGGCAGGCAGGACAGGCCAGGTGACTGGCATTGCCCCTTTACTCGGTCAGGGTTGCTAGAACGGACACCAAGACTGGAGATCTTCCTTTCAGGATTCCGCCCCACCCTTCCCTCATGTGCATCCAATTCCATGGCACAAAGTTCTCATGAATACCTCCAGTGTTTTTGGCTGCCTCAGAGTCTCACTCCTCCTTAGCACACAGCCCTGCCCTATGAGCCTGAAATTCAGCCAGCACCCATTTCACTGTGTCACCCACACATGCATAGACTGTTACCGTGTGCAGCTGAATTCAGCTGGGCACAGACCAGCCCAGCCCTGAGCCCGACATGAGTCAAGGTACTCATGTGGCCTGAGAAGACACACATGGCAAGACGCAATCCCAGGCCAGCAGGACGTCCCTGAGTGCTGACTGTCTCAGCTGCACCCTTCTCCAAATACTGCACCCAAACCCAACCTCCTCAGATGACCCAAAAGGGCTGGGCCAGGGCCAGAGCCTTGGGTTCTTGTCCCAAACCTGTTATAAGACTGGGCACTGCTTGATCTTTTTCCTGGCCTTCATTTCCCATCTGTACAACGGCGAATAGGAGTGTACTGAGTGCTTCCAATCCCCTCAGCACTGGGGGAAGTGCTTTCCTGGGTGATGTCACATGTCTCTCCACTGCTGTTTAACAATTCACCCAGGAAAAGCATTTATTCAGTACAGGGTTTGCTATTTAGAAGTCACTCAGTAATATCACTCCTATTTTAACAGACTAAGAAGTGGAGGTGCAGGTATAAGTAATCTGCTTACATTAACGGCCAGTCAGAATAGGGATTTGAGCCACGTGCCCTGGTCCTTAGTGTTCAGTGACCCATAGCTACAGTAGTTTACCTAGTCAGGTTCTCCCTTATCACCAAGGCCAGGGGGTCCTAGGGGAGGACAATGACAATGAGTTCGAGGAGGCCCAAAAGGCTGTGATTGCAATGATTCCAAATGCAAACAATTAACACAGCCCAGCTGTGCCTGGCTGACTTCCAAAGGACTTCCCACCATCAGCCAGGTGCTTGCTCTTCTCCAGCTGGGGGGCCCAGGCCCCTCCCTGTAGCAGCTCAGGCTCAGATGCTAATGGGGATACAGGGGCAGGGATTCCGTGTGTTAGAGGTGAGGAACTCTGGAGAGAGCAAGATATCATCATAACAACCAGCCTGACAAAGCTCACTGCACCCCAGAAAAAGCTTGACTAAAGCCTAGAGGTCTGAGGAAGGCAGGTATTGTCTCCATTTGTTATTTTGGGAAGCAAGGAGAAAGGGGAGAGACAGATGGTGTTGGTCTTGGTGGCTCTTCTCAGGCTCACACAGAATGCACTGCTGCTGGTCACACTGCCCTCATCTCTGCACTGGGAGTAGCCTGAGGTCCAGGCCCATTGGCTCCTCACCCCCACACACATATCCCACACAAGGCCTGGCACAGAGGAGGAGCTCAGTGAAGGTTTATTGACTTGACTGTCTGGCTAGGCATGTTGTGCCAGTCTCCTCTGACAGAATATCCTGTCTGATAGTCTGCTTGCCTTCCTCCACCTTATGGCCTCAAGTGAGATGAAGTACAGATGTGACCCTGTCATTCCTCTGCTTAAAGCCCATCTGTAGTACCCATTGCTCTGCAGATAAAGTACCCACTCTTGTGCTGGCATTTATGGACCTTCCTTGTCTGACTTTGACCCCTTATGCTCCTCCTCCTCCAACAAATCCTTTACAGTTACTTGAAACATTGTGTGTATGACCATGAAGCTTGTGTGTGCTTCCAAATCTTTGCATATGCTGTTCCCCCTGCTTGGAAAACTCTTCCCCACAAAGTCTTAGTTTGTCTACCCACCTTGGAAGGTCTGACCCAGGTGCCACCTCCCTTGGAGTCTTATGGGACCCTCCTGTGTGGGCTATGTCCAACTACCTCTGTATGTATTTGTAAGGACAACTTCTACCCATCAGCACCCTGGACTTCCTATGGTTCCTTTTGCATCTCCCCTACGTGGACAGCTGGGGACCAACTCTGGCTCACCTCCCTGGGCCTAGGCTGGCAATGAAACTCATTGAGAGAATACTACTCTGCCTCTGCTAACAAAAGGAGAGAGACAGATGGACAGCAACAGAGGGAAGAGAGGCAGGGTAAAAGCATTCAGAGGTGAAGCATGACAGGCCCGCAGAGCCGGGGAAATACAGAGGCCCTGCAAAGCAGAGGTTGTGACAGAGACCTGTCACAACCTGCTCACCTGGCTTTTTCCCAGAGCTTCCTGGACCACTCGGCCTGTGCAGCCAGCATGGCAGGGCGTGATATACTCCACATGGGCACGGGTGTCACAGACAGGGTTGAAGCCATCTGATGAGCAGGAGCAGGGCTCTGCGCAGTTGGGAAGTAGCCCCTGCCCAGGCTGGGAACTGTGAGTAAAGAACGAAGGTAGGGTTAGCCCTTAGGTCACATGCTGGACCTCTGTCAGCTGGGCTGGGGCTTCCTCCTCCATATTGCACCCCTGTGGTCACATGACCTCTCTGCTCACTCAGCTGTCCTATTCACTGTGTCCAATGTCACCTGTCTCTCTCCTGAGGGCCCATTTCTAAAGCCCAGAAGTGCCCCTGTCTCAGCTGTCCAGGACAAGGTGGGGGTGGCCAGGGAGGTCAGAGAGAAGCTGAGTTCGAGGTGCAGATTGCCCTGAAGTGAGGGCACAGAGGTAGGCCCGGCAAGTTCAGGAAAATCCTGATTCCACCAGGAGATGGTTGGCAGGGGCTAGGAGGCTGGGAAAGGACAACTGTTGAAATGGCCTGAGTGTGTGGAGGGGTGGAGGGTGGGGTGGGAGGAGGTGGGAGTGAGCAAAGGTGAATGCCTTCCTTCCATGGTGGACTCTCCCTCTGAGTAGGCAGGAAGGTCACTGCCAGCACAGTACTTTCCTCCTCTCTGCCAGACAGCACTCAGGTGTCTGACACTGTCTTGGCATGTCTACCTCGGGCAGGGAGCCGGCTGGCACTGTCTGAGCTCAGGCCTTCCAAGGGGATCTGCCCATGTATTTCTAGATCCTGTGCCCATAGTTGGAAGGCTGAGCAGGGGATAGCTTGGTGGGGAGGGATTTTCCTCAGTGCCTCCTCTCTCCTTGACTATCTGCAGCTGTTTGCTTCTGTCAGAAGAGTCCTGGCTCTAGGCTCTGCTGGATGGGTGACTGCCTCTCTGAGGCTTGTTATACGCATCTATAAAATGGGCACATTTTACAGACCTCATTAAGACCCTGTGGGGATGCAATAAGATATAACAGGGGAAGCACTGGGCTTGGCATTGGGTGTGTGGGAGGCTCTTGGCACTCAGCAGACTTTCATTATTGCTAGTTGAACAGGAACTGTTCTTCTGAACTGGCTTAATTGGTTCCAAAAAGTTTCTTCAATGAATTAGAACCCAGAATTCAGTAAATAAACTCCAAGAATATTGATGAGAACATAGGTGAGATGAGATGTTGAAGCCAAAAAAGTAATAACAGAAGGAAGGAAAGACAAGGCAGGAGGGATGGGCTAGCTTTTCCCATTAAAAAATTTTTTTCTAATGTGGTATCTATACACAATGGAATTTTATGCAGCCATGAAGAAGAACAAAATGTTATCATTCACTGGTAAATGGATGGAATTGAGAACATCATTCTGAGTGAGGTCAGCCTGGCCCAAAAGACCAAAAATTGTATGTTCTCCCTCATATGCGGACATTAGATCAAGGGCAAACACAACAAGGGGATTGGACTTTGAGCACATGATAAAAGCAAGAGCACACAAGGGAGGGGTGAGGATAGGTAAGACACCTAAAAAACTAGCTAGCATTTGTTGCCCTTAACGCAGAGAAACTAAAGCAGATACCTTAAAAGCAACTGAGGCCAATAGGAGAAGGGGACCAGAAACTAGAGAAAAGGTTAGATCAAAAAGAATTAACCTAGAAGGTAACACACATGCACAGGAAATCAATGTGAGTCAATGCCCTGTATAGCTATCCTTATCTCAACCAGCAAAAACCCCTTGTTCCTTCCTATTATTGCTTATACTCTCTCTACAACAAAATTAGAGATAAGGGCAAAACAGTTTCTGCTGGGTATTGAGGGGGTGGGGGGGAGAGGGAGGGGGCGGAGTGGGTGGTAAGGGAGGGGGTGGGGGCAGGGGGGAGAAATGAACCAAGCCTTATATGCACATATGAATAATAAACGAAAAAAAATTTTTTTTCCTGTGGTAAAACATCCATTTACTTTTTATTTGAAAAATCATTGAAAGGACCTGGTCCCTCCTCAGACCAGGGGCTTCCCAAGGGCATGGCTGCCAAGCCCAGAGCAGGCTCTGCACATGAAGGTTCTCACTCCAGACAGTCAGTTGCCTTGCTGTTTGGGAAAAGGAGGGGGAGGGACAAGGGAGGAGAAAAGGTGATGAGAGTGGGACCTGGGATGCCTTGGCCCTGAGCTGAGGCCTCACAGCCATGCAGAAGGAACCCCAGGTGAGGGAAGCTGGCACCTGGGTGAGGAAGGAGATGCCAAGAAGGAGGTGGACAAGGAAGTTGGGGAATTCTAGTTGGGTGTTGGGCCAACCCAAGCCTGAGAAGTTTACGGGAAAAATGATATAATTCTGGGGAAGAGGCAGGAACAACAGAATTTCCAATAACCTCTCCAAAGGCTCCCAAGGGGAGAGGGTTTGTGAAATGGGGAGGAGGAAGTAGGAGGGGGCAGGAAGAGGAGAAAGGCATCAGGGACCTTTCTCCAGGAGGGTGGAGGCAAGCACTGTCTCACAGGCTTGGACGAGGAATGTTAGCGCCCTGGATCAACAGAGTTTTAGCTCAGTCTAAGAACCAAAAATCACAGCAGTCTCCAGTCCACCCCACCCAGTGCATAGTCTCCTCTGTAGCCTCCCCAAGAGGCTCATCCCCCTCCTCCTCCTGCCCCCAGGGATGGAGCTCCCTCTTCCTGGATCAAACAGAGTTTCTTACTGGGAGAAAAACCTCCCGACTGGCTGGGCTGGGTTCTGCCTCTTATGGTGTGGCCTGTGTCTCATTTCTGCTGGGCCCTCAGGGCTCGGCCACCCTGGATATGCAATCCCACGGGTAGCTGCACCCTGACTCAGTCTCCAGCCCTCCTCAGGCCTGAGCTTTTCTGCCCTCGAAGTGCCAGCTGTGCCCCTTCTATGGTACCATACTCCTTCCTTGGAATCTTCCAGAGAGAACATCCACTGCTGTGTCTGAGTCCAAGGAGGGAAAAGATGGGGAGGTAAGAGTAAGGCAAGGGGGCCCTGCTGATCTCACCTCTATCTGGGCCCACTTGCTTCCTCTGTTCCACTCCCGACCCCCACGTGCTCTCATACTCCCATGCACACTCACCCAGGCCCGGAGGTGACGCCTGCAATCTGGTGAGTAGAGCAGCCAATGAAGAAGAGGGGCAGGCTGAACAGCAGGCAGAACAGTGCCCCCAGCAGGCAAAGGACACCAGAGTGCAAGGGACCCAGGTGGAGACGCTTGACCAGGACGCCCCCCACCACGATGCCCACCATGGCCAAGGGGATGATGAGACAGCCAATGAGCAGGTTGGCGAAGGAGGCTGTGACAGAAAACTGGCGCTCCAGGAACTTCGGCAAGAAGGTGGCCATGCCAGCCACCATACATGACATGCACACCTGGGACAGGACCACTAGCAGGAAGATGGGGTGGCGCAGCGTCCTCAGCAGCACCCTGGGGAAGACTGATAGGATGAGGAGAGGAGGTCAGAGCCAGCAGCCAGACACACCATCCCTGTTTGTCCATCCTGCCCTATTCTGTTCCTAACCACTTCTTCCATCCCATCCCATTCCATTTAATTCTATTGCATCCAATTCTATCTCATTACATTTTGACTCCTCCCCATTTAATTCCCTTCCAGCTTTGAAATTCTGTTCATTTCTTCCGCTCCATTGAGTTAAATGGCATTTTATTCAGTGTGTTTATTTCCATTCAATTCTGTTGGATTCCATATAGTTCTATTCCATGTCATCCCATTTGACTCTATTTCATTCATGCCATCCCATCTCATTTTTCAAATTTCTACTTAATCATCCTTTTTTTTTTTTTTTACCCTACTAGACTTTTTGTCCTATCCTGCTGTAGCTCTCTGCAAGCCAACCCAGGCTTTGGTCCTCCCCCTGGGTCCCCAGCCCTACCCTGATCTCCCATCCCTAGTTTGTGTTTCTCCAGAGCACTTTACCTAACAGACTACACATTTTATTCATTTAGCTCTTTTATTGTCACCCTGCCTCTTTTATTTCAGAGCAGATTTTTGTCTGTTATGTCAGTTGCTAAATTTCCAGACCTCAGGACAGACTAGGCACTTAACAAGTGTCTGTGAAAGAATGAAGGAATGAATGAATGGGCATACAGATTACTATGTGATCAAAGGTCAAATGGGCAGAATCTCAGGCCTCAGAGAAGAAGAACCCTCAGCAGTCTTGGTGCTGGGAGGCTTCCTGGAGGTAGGACAAAACCAGGACCTAAAGACATGGGAATCGTGTGGTGGAGCTGGCATGGAGAGGGGAGAGGAAGACATTCCCAGAAGGGGTACAACAGAGGCAAAAGCTTGGAGACAGAAATAGAGGTGGCTGTTATGGCATGGGTGACCTCCCCAATCTCCAGCTAGCTCCAAAAATAGTGCCTCATTCACATGCTTCTCTCCCCACAAGTCTGCTACACAGAAGGGTTCATAATGGTAGGTAAGTCCTTTCCCTTTGGGCTCTAGTGTCCTCACCAGTAGGGACAGTCCCGGGATGTCCAAGGGGGTACTTTCTGTTATGACATGTGTGACCCTTTCCCACTGTCAATCAAAAGGAGGGAGAACGGTTTCTACTTGTAGTAGGCAAGACAGCAGTTAGATGAGGGGTGTGAGAGAGGCAAGGCCCTTCAAGGAAGAGAAGCAAACTATGCCAGGCAGGGCTGGGGGAGAGGCAGGCTTGGGGGATCCTTGGGGCCAGGTATGTGTGTGTGTGTGGGGATCCCTGCTGTTTCTGTAGTGGCTAGACTAGGGCCTCTGTCATGAGAGGTGAGTTTTGTCTGTCCTCAGAGCTTGCCCAAGCAGCTAGTTCCCTAGTCCCCTGGGCTGGAGCAGGAGCTGTTTCCTAAGGAGCCAGGAAATAAAGACGAAGGGTCTCACTGGGATGGGTCGGGGCTGTGGCTGTGGAAACCCCCCTCCTTCGCATCGCAAGCCTGCCTTCTATTCCTAGTTCCTTGCCTCAGCAGTGCATAAAGCCAGCGTTTTGGAGTGGGGCGGGCGTCCCTGGCCCTCACCCCAGGTAGTTACTGCAGCCTTCTTCCCTCCCTCCCTCTGTGAGCTGTCCTGGCCGGGGCATCTGATACCCAGTATGAGCCAGGGGATTTTAGTTGGGCTTGACCCAAATTATACAATAGCCTTCTCTGCAAGGTAAAGAGAGGGCAGGGACACACCCAGGTCCATCTAGTGGCCAGGGGAAGGCCAGGAGTTCTCTGGGTTCTCCTGACTTCTAGTTCAAAGTCATTCTCCTTCTACTACTTAATGCCCCCTAATTCCTATCCTCTCTGGCAGCAGGACTCCAGGGGGCTCCAGCCCACTGATTTCTCCTGCACTCTCTGCAGTGCACTGTGTGCCCATCCCCCACCTCTCCTCAGCAGCTTCAGCCTTCTCCAGAACAGATGGAAAATTCCTGGAGGGCAAGACCAGGCCTTTCACTTAGCACTACCTGAAGGGAAATTCCAGGGTCCACGTCCAGCTCAGAGGGCAGTCTTCCCCATAAGAAGGGTGACATGTTAGGGCCTCCCTCAATTCAGTGACTATGTCTTCCCCATCAGCAGTGGTCTTCTGCTTCAAATAGGAGACGTCCTCCCTCAGTCAAGGTCTCTCTTAACTCAAGGACAACACCTCTCCTATTAGAAGCTTCCACAGCCCAGGGACTACTTTTCCCCAAGAATGTAAGGCTCTTCCAGCAGAGAGATCACTGTTCCTTCTCCCTCTGCTTCCTTCAGGGTTCTAGGCAGTCAAGGCCAGGGCCTGGTGTCAGACTGGCTCTTCTGCAGCTCCATAGAAGCAAATAAGCCAGGTTGGCTAACTGGCCACAGGGCCTGTGATCAGCCCAGCCTCGGTCTCCTGCAGATTCCTGTAGGAGCTGAAACTACTAGAGACAAGCTGGCCTAGAACATTCACTCTGGGATCCAGTTTCAGCAACTGGCCCTAACTTCTCTCTGGGCAGGAGCCAAAGCAGTGATTAATAAGTTCTTCTGTGGTGCAGTGTGCTGAGGCCTTCCAGCAGCTGGGGGTGACCTGAGGTTAGGGAGTCCAGGCCCCTGCCCCATGGAGTCCAGCTATTCCTGGACTAGATTACCGATACTCCAGCATCAAGTCTTAGGAAGCTTTGTCCAGGAATTGGGTACAATTCTTTTCTGTTGCAAAAATCTTCAGTGAGGGGTTAAGGAACCCCGTGGCTAAACCACAGCCGTGCCATTTTCTATCCTGGACATGGTCAGAGTAGGACAATTGGGTAGATCATGGGAATAATTATACCTTAGGTAAACACCATTTTAAAAATAGCACACAGGGACTTTCCGTGTATTGTCCCATTCGATTGTCATTACAGTCCTTGAGAGAGGTGGAACGAAGATTATTGACTCACTCTTTCAAATGAGGAAACTCAGACTAGAGATGGAAGGTAACTCCACAAGACTATACACTGATCAGTGTTGGGAAAGGCTCATATTTCTGCCTTCTCACTTGTTGTCTAGTGCTCTCCAACAGTCTGGCACACAGCAGGCACTCAATCAATGTTCGTGAGATTGGACTCTGGAAAAGACTACTTGGTTACAGTGTGGACTCTGATTACTGACTGATGGATTTCACAGTGTCAGGATCAGAGTTGCATGAATCTTACAATATTGAGTCTGCCTGTCACTGTGCAGGGAAACTGTACTGGGGAAACTGAGGTCCAGAAAGGGGCAAGGACCCAGAACAAAAGGTTAGGTCCCTGGATTTCAGCCCAGAACTCCCTTCACCTATGCCCAGCCTGGGAATTTAACAACTATTTGCTGAGGACCTCCTGCTTGCAGGCTCAGTGGTGGGTGGGAAGAGAAGGGCAGAGGCCCTGACCTTCAGGGGCTCTCCACTTGGGGGAAGGTCTGGACAGTACATGGCACAGATCTGAGCTCATAAAGAAGCTCTGGGGTGCTGAACCCAGAGAAGGGAGGAAAGTAGCCTTGCTCTTTGGGAGAACCTGGCACGGTGAGGAAAGAGCAGCTCTTGAGTTTGACCTGGAAAGACAAGGAAGATTTTGACAGCAATTAAAAAAACTGTGCCTGGCAGAAAGGATTCCCTGAGCAAAGACTCACAAGGAGTGTGTGGTGCCTATAGGTGTAGAAGAATCAGGAAAGGAAGGAAGGAGCAGGAGCCTGTAACCCTCTAGGGAGCTCAGCCGTCTCCCCAGAACCTGGCCTTTGCTCACTTACCTTTGATGAACTGGAGCACAGTCAGATCTGGGGCAATCTGAGCCAGGCCTTCCTGCTGCTTCAGGGACTCACCAGGGCTCTGCTCAGAGGAGGAGTCCTCACCCTGGGGAGACACATAACAATGGCCAGTCAGCTAGATGCCAGAGATGTTACTCAGAATGGTTGTCAGTTGTGCGAGGGAGCTCTGTCACCGCTTCAGGAGCACTGGGGCCAGCTGTGTACCATTGGTTCTTGGCTATACACTCAACAAGAGTTTTTGAAAGAGTGAATGAGATTCTTGGTTAAAATTTGTCATTCTTATCATTCAACCCTAATAGTCACCAGCATTACCATGAAAATTACCACCACAGTCACCATTATCATTATTCTTCCTATCACCTCAAAACTCACCCCCATTCATATCACCGTCCTCATGAACAATTAAATGACCAATTTATTCATAATGATACTATTATTATGATATGGTGATTATTGTCATTGTCTCTGTTATAATCACCTCCACCAACACAATCATTATCATTGTTGCTGTCACCTGAACTTTCAGAATCACCACCAATATCACAACCATCACCATCATCCATATCACCATCACTGTCTCTAACATCATCATCTCTACAGTGTCTTCACCAATGTCAGTGTTACCGACCTCACCTCCATCACCCAGTGTCACCAGGGACTCCATCAACTCACAGTCTATCACCATCATTACCCCAGTCACCAAGAAATCTCCATTCTAACACCATTAGAAATGTCACTACTATGGCTATCATCAAGGTCACCTGTCCCACCACCACCACCATCATTAATATCTTTAGCAATCTTATCATCAATATCACCATGATGATGACCCGACCACACCTGTCTCTTCATTCGTGACTGTCATTAGCTGGAGAGATGCCAGAAGCAGGATCTTCTAGTGGACTGTGCCCACCAAGAGGTGGGGATGGTGTAAGTCTGCAGGCTGGTTCTGTTCTGTGCTGTCTTCTGGGACAGGAAGGGAGATGGGGGTGGGTATGAGACAATAGCCCCCGCTCCTCTTCTAGGAAAGGTCAGGCCACAACCAGAGGGTGTGCTTAGCCCTGGGTCTGCATGGGAGGTGATCATGGGCACCCTGAAGTGGGTCCCTGCCCACCTGGATAAGCATGGCCTCCATGAAACTCCTGAAGGAATGGCCCAGGGAGAAGGCTTGGGGTGTACAATCACATCTGAGTGTCAGGAAATCATGATACACACACACTACACTGTTCTAGAGCCTAACACACATCTCACCCAGACCCGTAAGCAGCCTTCGGAAGTAGGCACCATTATAATCCATCTCCTTTATCTAAGTTACAAAACAGAGACACAGAGATGAAGTAACTTGCCTGTAGTCATACAACTGATAAGTGGCCCAGTTAGGAATGAACTCAGACAGCTGGACTTAAGTGCTGGCATACCCTAGAGGAAAGGAGGTCACCAAGGCCACCAAGTGCTCCCCTCCCTGCCAACCTCTCCTAATTTATTCTACCTACCTTCCTCTAACAAAAGATCTGGAGGTGTGGCTCAAGTGACAGGGCACTTGCCTAGCAAGCACAAGGCCCTAAATTCAATCACCAGTACCACAAAAAACAAATAAACAAACACATTGTGAGGCAATGTGCTGTTGCCATGCACATTTTTCAGATGAGGAAACTAAGTCTCAGAGAAGTTGTTACAGACACAGTCATCCAAATACAAGTGACCAAGTGGGGTCTGATTTCACTTCATTTTTCTATTCAGCCTGAGGTCAGAATTAGAAACAACAAATTCCATGGAAGACTTAAGTGCGGTATAACGAGCAGTGTGGAAGAGGCTGCCCTGAGAGGAAGCTGGCTCCCCACAGCTGGAGTGTGGTCCACGACGCTGGACACCACCTGGGAGGGTGGGCTTGGCATCTCTGGCTCTGCCTCTTCTTCCCCTGTGCTGTCTCTTTGAGGTCCACACAGGCCTCATCCACTGGGTGGGGTCTGAACCTCCTTCCCTTGCATCTCATTTTTTTAGAGAGCCTCCTGAGGCAAATGCTGAATTTCCCCCTATTTCAGAACCTCCATAGCTGCAGCCACCAGGAAATCCCTGACCACACTCCCTCTGCCCTGCTCCCTGAGCTGGTGGCTAAAAGCCTGGTGTCCCAGCAGGACAATTCATTCCAATATTAATTTACGTGTGCTGACTCCCTTGGGCTTCTGCCTTCTCCTCTCCTATTTCACCCAGCGGGGGAGGGAGGGCTACAGAGGACAGAAAGCCCTAATGGGTTGCAAGGTTTTCTCCCTAGCTTTGGCTCCCAAAGCCTAAGTCCCCTGAGAAGATTCTGCTGGGTGTCACAGAGGTATGAGGAGAGCAGGGGGCTTCTGCCCAGGTGGGGAAGAGAATGCCATTCTTTTCACAACTAAAAACTGAGGCAGGCGCCAAGTAGACCGTGGATTCTGTAAGTTGTAGGCAGCCATGTATCCTTTGAGAAGCTGTTCACCTCTGAGGGCATGCTACAGCCTGGCCTAGGGAGGTGGGACTCCCATGTTCCCAGCTGCACCAACACTCCTCTGCTCCAGGCATGCTAAGAGTAGCAGGTAGGCATTGCTTAATGATCACAGTACACTGATGCTGATGCCTTCTGGGTGGAGGTGGGGCCTCCCTGGTGTCTGGGTACTGTGTAAGACCTCAGGACCTTTGCTTCATCTTGGTGGGAGAGCCCTGAGGATGATCTCTCAGAATGGGCATTCAGAGTGAAATTAAGTTAATTTTTAGAGAAAATAAATAAATAGCTATTTAATACACACTTAAGTCTGTATAAAGACTACCTGTGTTCCATGACTATCTTTTTTTTTTTTTTTTTTGTTCCATTACTATCTTCCCTGCCAGACTCCCAGTTCTGAAAGAGCAAGCATCATGTTTACCTTGTTCTCTGTTGAAACCCTGGTGCCTGACACAGGACTGGGCAAAACGGTGAATGTCTGATACCTTTCCATTAAAAGAAGGAGGGCAAGAGATGGCTCTGACCAGCAGAAGCTCCAGCCAATGCCAGGCTCTGGGAAGGAAAGTGAGATCACCAAGAGGAGATGCTGGGCTGGTAGAGTGGCTCAAGTGGTAGAGCACCTGCCTAGCAAGTACAAGGCCCTGAGTTCAAACCCCGGTACCACCAAAAAAAAAAAAAAAAAAAAAGAAATGCGATCATGCTGTGGGGAGTTCTTGGGCTGGGGATGGTTCAGAGAGGTGATAAGCGTGTCCAGGAAGCTAGGAGAACTGAGATTCCAGGAAATGTGGCTGGGGGCTGCACCAGCATGAGCCTGCTCCCCTCTTCACTGGAACCTGAAAATGAGCTCTGAAGTGAGGCAATGTGTACAAATCATACAACAAGAAAGTGGCTAAACTACGACCTGAACTTGAGCGTGGCCAAGTAGAAAAGTCGTACTTTATCCGTTAAGCCTGGATAAACTAACTCTGCCTGTTAATGCCTACAAACAGACAGAGTGAGTAAGCCTCCCTAGTGTGATTTGAAGGAGCCTGAAATCTCACCATTTAGGTTTTCTCCAGGTGAGGCACTTGGGTCTGTTGCTCACTCATACCTTATAGCCACTCTATCTCATGCAGCAACCTCCAGTCACATGTGGCTACTGAGCACCTGTCTACTGTCACAATGTGACTTCTCCAAATTGAGGTTTGTCCTAAGTGCAAAATACACATTGCATTTTGAAGATGTAGTCTGAAAAAATAGAAAATACTGCATTATTAATTTTTTGTGTTTATTATATTTGTTCCCAAGTTAGAATATTTTCAATATATTGGGTTAAATAAAATGTTATTAAAATTAATTTCGTTTTTTTTTTTTGGCAGTACTGGAGTTTGAACTCAGACCCTGGCACTTGCCTAGCAAGTGGCTACTCTTAAGCCACGCCCCCAGCCCTCTTTTGCTTTTTAGTTTTTTTTAGATAGGGTCTCATGCTTTTTTTGCCTGGATCAGACTTAGGCTTTGATCCTCCTACCTATGCCTCCTGTGTAGCTGGGATTACAGGTGTGAATCACCACACCTAGCAATTTCTTTGACATGGGACAGCATTAATAGAGAACCTGGGTTTGATAGCTTGGTCTGCCACTACCTCCCTGATGCCATTTCCCCTTTTGGGTCTCAGTGTTCTTTTCCTAAAATAGGTGCAGTAATAATGCCTGCACCAGACAGACTGATGTCAGAATGAAACGACATGATGAATGTGAAAGTGCAGTGTAGACCTGATAGGGATATACATGTGGGGGCAGGTGACATTGTGGTGCCTTTTACTATTTACATGGGGACAAGGGGCTCGCAAGATTCTGTGGGGCAGCACCTCATCCTGGCACCTCTCCCTTAGCTGTCCAGGTCTTTTGCCCCACTGTGATCCGTTCCACATCACTCTTCCACATCATGGCCAGAACTGAGAAAGAAGTAAGAAGATTCATTAATTCTCTTTATGGCAGCATAGTCAAAAGAAATATTATATAAGCCATATGTGTAGTTCTAAGTTCTCTAGTGGCCATGTTGTGCAAAAGTCAAACAAATTGCACAGGGTTTGGAGAAGAGGAAGGGCAGATCTGCAGGGGCTGGGGCTCTGGGAAGGCGTGCAGAGAGAAGTGTGGTATGGGATGGGACAACAGGAAGGGGGAGGTGGCTTGAAGCAGGGTACAGTATGACTAAGGGATGGTGGTGGGAAGGAGCTTGTTGTGGGGGACAGGCAGTAGTGACACCAACCTGATCATAGCAAGTGCCTTGCTGGGGCAGCAACTGGGGTAAGAGGGAGACTGGAGCCAGACCTGGGAGGTTCGGGGGCAGGCTAAGGGACTAAGACATTGTTCTGTGAGTTTCAGGAGACCTAATTGTCCCTGGTTCCCTTCTCTGTGTTCTCAGTAGGTTTCCATCTCTTGTCCCTCATCTGTTTTCAAGACCTCTGACTAATAGTGAATTCCAGAAACAGGAAACACTGTGCTTCTGCTTGGAGAAGGGCTTGGAGTGACCCATCTGGGCTGTGGTTTGCCCTGGTCAGCAGGCCTGGGCCAAGGGGCTATTAGAACTTCCCCTCCTACAGTAATAATGGGCTCTGTGCTGACATTGCATGCTGT